GTCCGGAAATAGCATTACAAGTTTGATCCTTCCAGACCCAGACACTTTTGCAATCGATATGTAGATGGCTTCATACGTGTCGTAGGCACTCTTTGTCTTCGCTAGAGTGGCGGATCCAATGTGGACCCACTGGCTTTTCCCCCTCATATCAAATGCAAATATGTCTGGAAGATTACGAGACTTGTCACGCAGATGCTCCATGACCCCCGTCGCCGAGCATGACAGATTCTGTGACGCTGATGCTCCTATCTATCACGCCTCTCCTGCATGAGAAACATCCTGCCAACTTGGCCAAGGGTGGGCATCTATTGACATCCATACTGCAAATATTCTCACTTTTGCACGACCCAGGAGCAACATGGCCGCAATGTTCCAGACCCAGACTAACACATTTGCACTTGGTACCTGACGTCGAGAAACAGGAAGGCGGACAACTTCCCATTTTTGCCGTCCGCCTGCAGCAGATACGGCGCCCATGGAATGCAAAAGCATCGCACGCGCACTCGTAAAAATGCATTACATATGTCCTCAGCATGAGAAATGAAATTTGTAATGCGGATTTACCTAAAGAGCAAGATTTGTAATGCATGTTTGCATTTACTACGAGCACGATGCTTTTGCACAGGATAGCGCCGCGGTGCCTGCAATTGCCGCGTCGGCCTTATGGCATTCTCAACCGTTACTCTCTCAGCTGTTACTTGGATTTGTCATGCAGAATTGCCATGGGCCACCAGGCGATCAACCTATCTCGCATGACAAATCCCAAAGGGCTAAACGGCGCCTATCAAAAAAAGTTTTTGCCGAGTTTGTGATGCAAAAGCTGCAAGCTTGCCCCTTTTACTGTTTCGCTTCTTGCGTCACAAATCCGAGCAACAGCTGAGAGTGTAACGGTTGAGAATGCCATAGACCTCGTCTCGGCACACTGCGCACGCCGTGGTTTTATGAAAACGAACTCTCGCGCCACAGTCGCAGCACAGACGTTTTGCGAGGCTACATTGTAGCCTCACAAAACGTCTGTGCTTGAGGGATTTCTTTGTAACAAATCCCTCAAGAAGTCTTCTTGAGGCAACTTCGAACTACAGACTCCATTTGCAATGCTGAGCAATTCCATTTGCGGACTTGCCTCCAAAAATAAAAAAATTAAGAGCTCGGCACTTTTCTCGAGGCAAATCCGCACTACAGATCCTCTTTCTAATGCTGAGGAATTCCATTTGCGGATTGTCTCAAGAAAGAACTTTGGCACTTCAGCATTAGAAATGGAATCTGTAATGCGGATTTGCCTCAACAAGTTTTCTTGAGACAAATCCCTCAAGAGGTCTTCTTGAGGCAAATCCGCATTACAGATCCCACAGGCCTCACAAAAAGCCTCGGACGTGACTCCGGCGCGGAGTTTCGTTGTCATAAGATTTCAAGGCACTATACTCGCTCCAGCCGACTGACGTGCCGTACAGGTCCTTGCCCACAGCTTCGTCGAAGGTCTATGAGGAGGAAAAACGTAGGCACCCACCCCGCTCCCCAATTGTAGCATGACAGAGTGCAAGACGGCAGCTAGAAATGCTTCGCAGGGGACTGCGCATGAGAAACACTCGGGGCGTGTAGATTCGCATGACAGTCCTGGGGTGTGGGGACGTTTTTCCATAGGATAAGGTCGCCTCGACATGCATTTTCCAGGAAGGATGCGACCCCGCCTGTTTCAGGTTGATCAAGGCGTGCCGGGCCATAATGCGCGCTTTCGCGCGCTTTTTGTCCTCGACGACTGGACGTTTGAAGGTTGGAATCTTGTTCTTGTTCTGGATGTTCGCCTTTGCTTTCTGGTGCACAGGCCCCTCGTGCTCCATATGGATTGTAAAAGTGTCTGGGTCTGAAAGATTCTGACACTTGTCATGCACGTTTTGCATGAGCCCTGATGTCCGTGATTCACAGATTTTTTGAGACCTTCTTGATGCCTATTCCGCATGACAAATGCCCTCTTCGCGTAGAAAAACTTGCATTCCTTTTGGTACTCACGCAATACAGATTTTTCTGGAATCCAAATGCAGCATCACAAGCTGCATTCTACTTCCAGACCCAGACATTTTTACACTTGATACTCCAGCATCTTGGAAAATATCCTGAGGAAAAATGTCCCCACCCCAGAGTTGTCATGCAGATTTGCGATGACAGGAAGACTTGTAATGCGCATCTCCATGAGAGGCATTACCAGTCGCGTTTTGAAATTTGTAACGCTGCAAACAGGATGAGAAGATGGATTTGTGATGCAGTTTTCCTTGCTAACATGCACTACACTACGGACTGCAACTTGTCATGCGTGGCTCCCAAAACTTCTGGATTTGTGTTGCTAAGTCGCCAACTTGCCTCTGGTGTGGGGACGTTTTTACTCAGGATAGACAAGCAAGCAGACTTCCGCTGGAAGTCCCGGGCCTCCTGCAGCGCTACAAACGTCCCGTTGCCGAAGCTTGAGGCCGCGTTGCGCTTTTGCAAGTTTCTCAGCCTTTTGTCGTGTGCGGTTCCTGCGTCACAGTACTTACAGGACAGCACGATGTTCAGCGGCCGGTTCTGGTGTGGGTCGTTGTTCACGTTGAAAACATCCCACTGGCACCACTCTAGCAAGGTCGGGTTTGCAATAGTTCGGTTTTCCTTGTTGGTGAACAGATTCATGAACCAGTCCGCGCACTTCTCGCCGCGGTCGCTCTGCTGCAAGATATCGATCGCCTTTCGGCCCTTGTCCTTACCGCCGACGAAGCGGTCGACCATGCGGGACATTGCCTCCGACGTCTGAATATCCTGTGTAAAAGTATCGCACTCGCATAACTGCATTACAAATTCTCTCAGCATGAGACGAAACACGATTTGTAATGCGGATTAAGACCTTATATATAGAACGAAATTTTCTGTAGTGTATGACTGCAATAAGAGCACGATACTTTTGCCCAACATACTGAAACTCGATGCCCACGCCCTCCTCCTCCTCGTCGGAGACCTCCTCGCAGTACAGCTGCTCCGACAGGAAAACGAGGGGCTCCGTCCGGAGTTGTTTCTTCCTCGAGCTTTCCTGTGACCGCCCCTTCACCATCTTCATGGCTTGCTGTCTTCCGTTAAAGCTCTTGTGAGATGATGTGGAGGATTGGTTTTTCTTCTTTGTCTATGCCTTGGAAAAGTATCGCGTGGGCACGCGCGCTCGTTCTTGCTGATAGCGATATGCATCACAAGTCGCAACGTTCCCCCGAGTCCAAAGCTAAAGCAGCATCACAAAGTCCATTTGTCATGCCGAGCGAAGTGAGTCTTTGTATATGCGGCGCATACTAGTACTAGTGCGATACTTTTGCCTTGCGTATTGCCGGCTTTTTGTTCTTCGGCGCCGATCTTCCACCGCTAGCCTTGCCGCCATCGTCGCCCGGAGCCGAGTCGTATAGCCCGAAGTCGCTGTCGTATACGTCCAGGTCCAGATTGATATCTTCATCTTTCTTGTTCATCTTTATCCTGTGTAAAAACGTCCCCACCCCATAGTGAAATTGGTAAATCTGCAACACAAATTTCTAAGTTTTGGGAGTTTTGCATGACAAGATTCTATCTGTAGCGTAGTGCTGTTTAGCAAGGGCAGCCGCATGAGAAAGCGAGCTTCTCATCCTGTTTACAGCATTACAAATTCCAAAACACGACTGGAAGTGCCTCTCATGGAGATGCGCATTACAAATCTTCCTGTCACTGCACATTTGCATGACAGCTATGGGGTGGGGACGTTTTTACATAGGATAGTCTTCTTGCCTGCGTTACTCTTCTTCATCTGCGCCTCCTGCGATAGTGTCGGCAGGAGCGTATCGCCCGGCTCGCTGTATCACAAAGAAAGCGCCCCCCTCCCCATATCAAAACGGAAATCTGTGATGCAGCTTCACGCTAGAAGGTAAAAGATGGGGACTGTAGTGCTGGGTGGCGTGGGGAAGCCTTGCATCTTCAGCATGACAGGAGGCAGCTGGAAGCAGGAAACAGCATGACAAATGGCCTGCAAGCGAGGCCACAACTGCGGCTCTTGGCCTTCTAGCACTACAAGTCTATTTATTAGTGTACTCAAATAACGCATCACAAATGTCGTTTTCGATATGGGGAAGGGGGCCGCTTCCTTTTGATACGCGCGACGTGTTCATCTTCGCGGCCGACTTGCCCTTCGCGGCCGCGGCCATTTCTTGGGATGCTACGCAATCAAAGCGATATGCGGGAGTGGCGGGAGGGCTGCTCTACTTACATACAGTATTAGCGCTGAGGGTTCTAATTCTAGTAAATAAATATAACGCGGGAAATGAATCTAAAGTAGTACTAGTAGTAATTAACAACAGGGGGATCTACGTAGGAGTTAGTAGTAGTAGTAGTAGTAAAGCAACAAACTGAACTCGGTGAAAGCTGTGCATTAGAAACTTCGGCGCGGGGAGAGTATTGAGGGGTAGAAGAATACACCGATCGCAACGACCATAGGGCGCCTGGAGGCAACGATCAGAGAGCAAGGATCAACACCGAAGCAACAGGCATAGAGCATTTTACTTTTGTGAAAAAATGCTTTCTATTTCCCAAAAAAAATCCCCGACGATGAAGACATACGAGCGCGGCAATAGTCTTTCTTGAAGAGCTTGGCTCGACACGAAGAACGACTACACGACTTGAAGAAAAAAAAGGAGTTACTCTTTAACAAACAAGATACCATCCAGCGCTGGCGGTGTCGAAAATCGTTAAAGAATAAACCAAAATGATGAAAGACGAAAGCGACAGAGTATCTTCTTTGCTAGAGTCACTGTGGTCTTTTACGACTTCAAAAAAACAGAAAAGAGCTGCACCGAACTGAGGTAGGCGACACTATACCGGAACTTGAGACTTATTTTTGAAAATTCCATACAAATCTCTTTTAGCCGATATCTCCGAACAATCGTAGAAAACACTTGCTTCCCGCAAGTTAATACTTCTGCTCCCGCCCTTCTTGGCGTCCTCTTATTGCTTTCACACTATAGAGGTAACAAAAAACAAAATTCCTGTTTTCTCGTCGAGGCAGCAATTGGCTTCGGTTCAGGGTTCTTCTCGGTGTGAAGTTTTCGTGTGCTTTTCTGTGGTAATTTGTAATGCATTTTGTACGTAGTGCGACGAATAGAAATATTGGTCTGACTACGAATTGTTTTTATCCCAATGAGCGAGAACTTTGCTCTTTCTGACGCTAGCGAGCTGCTACATACGAGAAATCCAAAAAAGTTTTTCTACGAGATGGAGCTGACGTAGCTACGACCCCAAAAACAGAACAGCAGCATCTTTTCCACTTTCACAAATGGATACAGTCGCTGCGTATCTGTGGATCGGGGAAGTAAAATTTCTGTACACATCCTATCCAAGTAGGTGAGTCGAAAGTTGTAAATTCTGAAGTTGTTTGTGTTAAATCCAGAAGTAAGCAGTCTAGTATTGTAAAATCTGAAATTCTAATTTGTGGCGGACCTCTGTTGCAATTGAAATTGTAAAAAGTCAAAACTGTAAAGCGCTTACCGGTTGTTCTATTTTCCACGTACTGCTATTTTGAAGTTGACAGCTGGTTATTTTTCAAGAACTGGAGTCGATTCAAGTAAACTTTTTATCATGAGCTTGCGAATTTGTGATGCTAGTTCTTGAGGCAAATCCGCATTACAGATTCAATCTCTGCAAGCATTGGAAATGGAATCTGTGATGCGGATTTTCCTCAAGAAGTTCCTGTTCCTGAGGCAAATCCGCATTACAGATTACATTTCTACAAGCATTGGAAATGGAATCTGTGATGCGGATTTTCCTCAAGAAGTTCTTGAGGCAAATCCGCATTACAGATTCCATTCCTAATGCTGAAGCTCTAAAGCTTTTTTTGGAGGCAAGTCCGCAAATGGAATTCCTCAGCATTGCAAAGCGAATCTGTAATGCGGATTTGTCTCAAGAAGACTTCTTGAGGGATTTATGTCTAGAAGACTCTCTGAGGCAAATCCGCATTACAGATTCCGTTTCTAGTGCTGAAGTCCTCAAGTTCTTTCTTGAGGCAAGTCCGCAAATGAAATTCATCAGCAATAGAAACAGGATCTGTAATGCATTGGAAATGGAGTCTGTAGCTTGGTGGATTTGCCTCAAGAAAGAATAGGAGACTCTTCTTGAGGCAAATCCGCAGATTGCATTGCAAATAAATGCTGAAGGCATAAGCTTTTTTTTGAGGCAAATCCGCATTACAGATTCCATTTCTAATGCTGAGGCTGAGGGACTTTGTATTGCTATTGCCGTAGAGACGGCAATACAAAAGCGCATGGCAAATTTCCGTTTTGGATTGGACATTTGTCATGGAAAACGCATCAAATTGAAACTGCATGACAAATTTCCGCATTTGGGAATTTGTCATGCAAAACGCATCAAGTTTTTGATTCTAATTTTGGGAATATGTCATGCAAAACACATCACTCAATTGTTGAAGTGGCCATTTCAACAATTCGAGATCTGCGAATTGTTGAAATGGCCATTTCAACAATTCGGCTTGTGCAAAATGTTGAAATGGCCATTTCAACAATTCGCAGAACCCGAATTGTTGAAATGGCCATTTCAACATTTTGCACAAGCCGAATTGCAGAAATGGAATCTGTAATGCGGATTTGCCTCAAGACCTTCTTGAGGAAAATCCGCATCACAGATTCCATTTCCAACGCTTGCAGAAATGGAATCTGTAGTGCGGATGTCTGTAATACGGAATCTGTAATGCGGATGTAGAAAGGGTGTCTGTAGTGACTACAGACACCCTTTCTAATGCTGAGGATTTCCATTTGCGGACTTGCCTCAAGAAATAACTTTAGCACCTCAGGAGCATTAGAAATGGAATCTGTAATGCGGATTTGCTTCAAGAAGTCTTCTTGAGACAAATCCCCCAAGAAGTCTCAGCATTAGGAATGGAATCTGTAATGCGGATTTGCCTCAAGAACTTCTTGAGGAAAATCCGCATCACAGATTCCATTTCCAACGCTTGCAGAAATGGAATCTGTAATGCGGATGGCTGTAATACGGAATCTGTAATGCGGATGTAGAAAGGGTGTCTGTAGTGACTACAGACACCCTTTCTAACGCTGAGGATTTATTATTTCTACACTACATTATTTTTATTATTTCTACAAAAGTAATGTAGTCTTTCTAACGCTGTATAAAATCTCTACCTACTCAAAACCTGTGCTTCGGCCCTATGGCGTTCTCAACTGTTACATTCTCAACTGTTACATGGACTTGTGATGCAAGAGTGGGAAAAGTGAAAGGGGGGGCATTACGCGTCTTGCATGACAGATTTGGCACAGATTATCATCCTGTTTGGCCCTTCCAGGATTTGTCATGCAGAACAGCTTGATCGTGTAGATGATCATACATGGCGCTTTTGCATGACAAATCATGCAACAGAGGAGAATGTAACATTTGAGAACGCCATAGGCCCTTCCCCCAGTCCTATCCTGAGCAAAAACGTCCCCGCCCCATGATCGTCAAGTAGGGAATCTAGCAACACAAATCTCCAAGTTTTGGAAGCTGTGCATGACAAGTTTTCCCGTGCAGTGTAGTGCTGCCTGGCAAGAGAGGCCGCATGAGAAAGCCACTCTCTCGTCCTGTTTACAGCATTACAAACAAAAATGTTCCTGTCGTTGCAAATTTGCATGACAGGAGCTCTGGGGTGTTCGTGTTCGTGTACTGCCAGAGACCAAAATAAAGTCAATTACAGCTCATGGATGGGGACGCTTTTACTCAGGATAAACCCGCCCCGCTCTTCTTCGTGGGTATCAGAGTGCACACACCCCCTCCCCCTCGTTTGTGTTGGTTGCATGAACAGCAAAACAAGCGCTGGCAAAGATGCAGCTTCTGTGTGTCAAATTCCAAGCAGACTGCGCTACAACTTTCTACGAATAGCACTACGTAGCGTAGTGCTGTTTTGGATTCGGGAATCTGTCACGCAAGTAGTGCCTTCATCATCATCATCATTATCATGCGTTGCCTTTTGCTTGACAAATGCGGGCTCGGGGGCGCTGGGCACTTTCATAGGGGAGCTGCCAATCGTACACCAAAACCTTCCGGCCGTCCGTTGCCCCGGTAAAGGTGTGCCGCTTATCGTTCTCGCTGTAGCTTAGTTTTGCAACTCCCGTGTTGGTGGTCGCCGCAAACCCTATCCTGCGCAAAAATATCGCACCCGTAGTAATTGCAATCATGCATTACAAATTTCCTTGATGTAGTAAATTAGAACTAGTGTAGTAACGAGCGATAGTTTTTAGAAGAAACAGCTAGCATCGTATGTAAAATTGCAACTCGAACTTTCAAAAATGACCTATTTCCACGAGCAATGCAGTTTGTTTATTAACCCCGTCGATTGTGTAGCAACATCGCGCGAGAGGTTTTTTTTATAAACAAGGTAAATCCGCATTACAAATCTTATGTCTCACGCAGAGGAAATTTGTAATGCATTTAGTATACGAGTGCGATGCTTTTGCATTGCATACACCCGCAGTGGCGGCAAATGCACCCCTTCCCCGCCAGGGGCGAGGAAGGGCGCACAAAGCCACGCATGGAGCTGTCAGGTTTGAAATCGTCAAAGTTGAAGTAGTTTGCTATGCATAAAATGCCTGTCTTGCTGAGTAGGCAAGGGAGGCAGATTGTGAGCCTGTTTCGGGGTAGAAAAAGAGCTGCTCAAGCAGCATGACAACAGGCGTCCTCCTTGCCCTAAGAGAGTTACAAACTGCATTCTGACTCTAAATACTCAGCTTTGTCATGCGCCGCGTAGACATTGGGCTTGCAACTGGCATCGATTTTATGCATTACAAGTTATCTCTACTTCAACTCTGCTGATTTCAACTCTGACACATCCATACCATGGCCCGCGAGAATCGTCCACAGGGACTGCAACTCGCCCGGGGAGGCGGGTCTTTTCAGCGGTTTTGCCCGGGATGACTTTTTGGCCGTTCTTATCCTGTGTAAAAACGTCCCCACCCCAGAGTTGTCATGCAAATGTGCAATGACAAGAACATTTGTAATGCGGATGAGCATGAGAGGCATTTCCAATCTTGTTTTGGACTTTGTAATGCTGTGAACAGGATGAGAGGCTTGTTTTCTCATGCGGCTGTCCTTGCTAAACAGCACGACAATACAGATGGAAACTTGTCATGCAAAACTCCCAAAACTTGGAAATTTGTGTTCCAGATTTACTAACTTGACTATGGGGTGGGGACGTTTTTACACAGGATAGTTCTGATGATTGACATCGAGCTCGCGGCGAGCATATCAAAGGTAAAAGGGTCTGGGTCTGGAAAAACATGCTGGCTTTCATGGCGCAGAAGGTGTGGCATGGAAGCTCTAGCGTCACAGGTCTCGACAAGCTTCCGCACTGCCGAATCCGCATGACAAATTCCTCATTTTGGTGACAGAAAGTGTGCAGCTTTTGCGACCTATGCATGAGAGATTTTTCTGTATTCTGAAATGCGCATCACAAGTTTGGCGCTTCCAGACCCAGACACTTTTGCACCTGATACCGTCCGTCGTCAGACGAGGTGCTGAAATCGTCGCAACTCAGCGGGCATCCTGTGCAAAAGTATCGCACTCATAGTGATTGCAGTTGTCACGCGTTACAAATATAAGTTTTTATTTTCTGAAGGCAAACCCGCATCACAAATTCCGCTACCAATGCTGCGGACCTTTGATGTGATGCAGATGCAAAAGCAATTCGTACTAGTTTGATTCTTTTGCAATAGATAACGGCTCTGCCTGCCATCCTTTGGACAAAACCCCCCACCCCACAGCCAAGACTGCACCTCTATCACAACTGCAAAGAAATTCTGGCCCTTGCGCATGACAAATTGCTGCCCTGCTCCTCGTTGCGAAAGTTACAAACAGCATCAAAAAAGCCTATACGCGGGCGGCAGGCCAAATAGTTTGGCCCGGGCATGCAAATACGCACGGCAGGAATGGGGCGGGGTGTTTTTGCAAAGGATACCGCCGCCGCCGCGTGTTCCTGTTTCATGCGCGACGTCAAAGACGGCGGGGGCGAGGCTGGGGCGAAGCTGGGGCGGAGCTGGCGGGCCGGGCGGCGCGTCGGCTCCACCGGCGTGCTCCCGCTCCTCCCGACGGCCGTGCTGACAATCGCCGCGGGGCTGCTGCCGCTCCTTTTCATGATTGCCAGCGAAGTAGTGGTAAAGTCTGAGTAGAAAGGAAAGTCCTAAAGTCGGAGTAGAAAGCAAAATCCTAAATGGAAGCTTGAGTAGAGCACTGTAGCCGGGCGGGCTGAGAACTGAATGTATATAAGGACAAGGAATAGCAACAGTAGCAGTAGAGATTCCAAGCAAGATAGAGATACACACCACGAGAAAACGACACCGAATTCACAAAAAAAAGGAAAAAAAACATGGACTTCGCGATTGTAAAGCTACCAACCAAAAGAAACAGGAGCAACCGACTCAGACCCTGAGTACAATAAAAAAGTCATGATTTGCCGTGCGTAAAATAAAAAATTCGCAAACTTCTGCTCATCTCATACTCATGCATACGTAGTGCATGAAGTCGAAACTAAATAAGGTGCCTGCTCATACGCCCAAACGAAAAAACAACTCACCGACTTGCCATGCGCAAAGCACAGTTGCAGCTTCAATGTAATTGAAATAATCTTACGGGGGTTTGTCTATACCGAAAGTAACTCACACCACATGTCCTTCTTCAGTGTTCCCAACTTTAAACATTTCTTCTCCCCGCCCGCCCAGAAACAGCAAGACTTTGCTTCACTTTTCTGGCACCTGCATGCATCGGCTCAGCCGTCCGGAGAAGCTCTGAGCCGTTAGCTGCGGGCTGCGATTGTCACAATTAACAACCACAACGACGCACCCAGGGGCCGCCCGCGTGGAGGACACGCATGCAGGAATTTTTGGCCCCCTAGATGCCACCTGGCGGTGGCATCCGCCATCCCAAAAACTGCACCGAGCAGTTACAAATACGCCACAAGGGCGCCGCACAAAGAGCACGGCGGTGGCACTATGGGCAGTTCCATGGCGCTTGCAAAACGCTAGAGTCCCACCGTGATTGACAAACATAATACATCTTTTGTTTTTTTCTCCTTTAGAATGAATCGAGCCCCGCAGACCCCCGCAGACCCCCGGGGACCCCCGCCCCCCGCAGCTTATAAAAATAACTGCGGGCCCCCCTCATGCCGCCAGTCATGCCGCCAAGGGGGTTGGCGGCACTTTACCAGGATGGTATGGCGATGGCCGCCGTCACCGAACACAGAAAATATAAAAAAAACTTGATTATCTAATATTCTTCTTTTTACAAATTTGCTCGGCGGCACCTGGCGAACATCGCCATACCATCCTGGTAAACTGCCGCCAACCCCCCTGGCGGCATGCCTGGCGGCAGGGTGGCGGCAGTCAAAAAACAAGCGCGCAGGAGGCAGGTTGTGAACAGATTCTGCGACCTACCGGCAGCCCAGCAGGCTATTGGCTGCAACCTAGGGACTACGTCACGTCATCGCGTACGGTAAAGGAATAGATCATCGGGATAGGTCGAGCAGCAGCACGAGGTGTGCTGTGGTGTGTGTCTTGCGAAATTGCATAAAACGCGGCAGAAGATGTAGCTTGACGTAATGCTGGATCATCCTGTGGCCCTGCTTCAAAAACCACAGCTTCCCGCATTCCGGACGGCCGGCGATTTCCTTTTTTTTAAAAATTCGGATGGCACGCGAGCCGCAAACTGGAAAAAATAAACAAAAAAAAACGATGCAAAAACCGGAATCGCTACACTGGTAGCGATACCGGTGCGCATCACTGAAACAAACAGCATGCGCCACAATTAACAATGGTGGTCAGAAGCATGCGCCACAATCTGTGGTGAATTCTTCTGACGCATCGTTCTTGCGGGCTCTGTAGCGTGCTAGCGTTAGAAAGTAGAAACAGAGGGCACCAGGAGGAGAGAGGAAGAGAGGAACTACTTGAGAAAAGTCAGAGGGTCGATGGTAGTCGATCGGAGGAATCAAAGGAATTCGCTCAATGTGTTGAAGCGGGACAATTCTGGAGCGCTTTTCTTTGGTAGGTTCGTGCTATGAGTTTGGTCGAGCGAATCGACCAGGGTCCTACCTGTCTGGCTCCTATCGTCGGAGCGTGTTCTGCGATATTGCTGAGATCCTACCTAGGATTTAATACTGGCCAAAATCGCAAAATCTCACACGCTGGCCAGCGAATCTAGCGCACTGCCCGGCGAAAATCGCAAAATTTCGCACCTTGGCTGGCCAAAATTGCAAAATCTTGCCCGGTGGCCGGCCAAAATTGCAAAATATTACGCGTCGACCGGCCGAAGTTGCAAAATCTGGCACGTTGGGCCAAAATGACTGGCGAGGGACGAGTCCAGCGGTTCTTTTGCCGCGACGCACGCCTACGCCGTCATCATGTCGCAGTATGCTGTTGCGCCAAATGCGCTCGTAGAAAAAGAAAAAAGCGGGCAGCTGGGACTCGGAAATCGCGACCTCGCGTTGCTTTTTTCTTGTCCTCGCGGTCTCATCGTCCGTGCCCACAGCAGATGTCGTTCCTCCCCTGTGTTGCTCAGTGTGCAGTATGCAGGTGGAAAGGGAGGAGCGGGCTTGAGGCCAAGTGGCCCTCGTTGGACGTGTGCAGGTGTGAGTTCCAGGTCTGAGGTTGAAGCGCTGGCGCGCTCGTTGGCCGTAGGAAGTAGACGTTCTGAAGGAGGCCAAGGTGCCCTCCAGTTTCGCCACCGTTTAGGCGTCGGCGCTGCTGCTCGGTGGGTCGGTCGGCTTGTGTCCAGGCACTCGCTACCCCGCCGGTAGTGCGCTCCGTGTTCTCTTGTTTGAGCGGGCGCCGCGGTCTCCATGCTTGCGTGGTAGACCGCGGTGTTCCGGAGCGCTGCTGTTTCAGGCCCGCCTGAGCAGCAGTGCTTCGCCGCGTTTGATCTGTCTAGGCTCAGTCGCCTACAGACGCCGGTGGCCAGTGGTCTGCAGTAGAAGTCGGCGGAGTCAGTGCAGTAGGAGTTGGCATCGCGGGTCGAGATTTGCGTCTCGTCGTCGAGCGTCGGTGGGTGGTGGTCTCGTGCCTCAAGTCGGCACCCTCTCCTCGGAGAGCGTCGTTGGAAAAAGGGGCCCCACCTGCCCTCGGTATCGCCAGGTCGATACCTGCGTCTGCTGTGCTCGTCGGTGAAGAGCAGCTTCCGCGTTGGCGCTCGGCGATCGCGTTTGGGGCCAGACGGTCTTGTGTTCACCACGGTAAAGGAAAAGTAAGAAGACGGAAGAGGGAAAAGAATGACTGGCGAGGGACGAGTCCAGCGGTTCTTTTGCCGCGACGCACGCCTACGCCGTCATCATGTCAAAATATGCTGTTGCGCCAAATGCGCTCGTAGAAAAAGAAAAAAGCGGGTAGCTGGGACTCGGAAATCGCGACCTCGCGTTGCTTTTTTCTTCCCACCCTCCCACGCCTATGCTGAGTGACGAGGAGGAGCAGGACTTTTGGTCCGAGCTCCAAGGTGAGCTGAAGCAGCAGGCAGATGAAAATCTGTCTTCGTTTGAAAACATGAAAAAAGCGTTCGGGGCGAAAACGGCGGAAGTAGCGCTGAAAAAGTGCGCGGCAGAAGGCGGCAAAATCCCGATGAAGTTGTTAGCAGAGTCGAAGGAGTTACCACGGGGTTTGTTTAGCCACGAGCAGCTGCAGGCTCACGGTAAAGGAAAAGTAAGAAGACGGAAGAGGGAAAAGAGTTGTAAAATCTGGCGCATTGGCCGGCCAAAGTCGCAGAATCATGGGCACTGGCCGGCCAAAATCGGGAAATCCCGCGCGGTGGCCGGCCAAAATTGCAAAATCTCGCGTTGTGGCGAACCAAAATCGCAACATCCCGCGCGGTGGTCGGCCAAATTTGCAAAATCTCGCGCGGTGGCCGGCCAAAATCGCAAAATCTTGCGCGTTCACCCGTTGACACGTAAGATTTTGCGACGGTGACGAGCCAACACGCAAGATTTTGTGATTTTGAGGGGTGAACGCGCGCAATTTTGCGATTTTGGTCAGCCATTGTGCAGGATTTTACTATTTTCGCCAGAATCTGGTGCGTTGGCAACGCCAAAATTACAAAACATCCCGCGTCAGCCAGATATAGGGTGCGGGCTGGCCTCTAAATGCCCCATAATCGTATGCCCTGCCTCGTTTGTTGCCGAAAGTTGCCACGTTATAGCACGTAAAAGAATCGTGATCGCGCCGGCCATTCCTGAACTGCGCGGGGCTCTGCGTTTGCGGAATCGCGGCGGGCGGCCGATACGAGCCCCGGAAAGGCCCTGCTGGTTTGAAGCGCCATAAATGCGCACGCTTTTGCCGCCGCCCGTCCGAGCCGCCCTAGTACGGGCGGTTTTCGCCACCCTATAACAGGAGCGCCGGGCGCATTCCCCACAATACCATAGGGGGGCCTCGGCAAGGCTCTGCAATCTGCAGAAAGCAATGACACAACGCGCCCTGCCTAGGGTCTTGCGACCCTTTCCCCTTTGCCGGAGTCGCTCAACTCCGCCGCCGCGGCCCTTCGCACATTATAGAAAAATGCAAAGCGGTGGCCCCCGCGGGCCTGTTTGACCACGCCCCGGAGTTCGGTGATACTTGCGGGCGGCCCGGCCGCGCGCATTCCAAACCCCGATCCGGGTTGGCGTGCGCCGATGGCCGCCGCGAGGCGCCGCCCTGGATTCCCGGCTTTGCGTGTGACGTTTTTGCGCTCCCCCCGCCCCTAGACGGCGCGAGCCTTTGTCGCCCTGCTTGTGCGGTGTGTTGCCGTGTGTTCCGCGCCATCCCGCTCGCGCGAAGCTCGAACGCCCCGGAGGTGCCAGCGGCAAGCCCGCCTCATTGCTGCGCAGCGTGGCTTTGGCGCTCGCCATGCGCCACCCCGCTGACTAAGCAGCCACCCCCCTGTTTTAAGCATGTCCGCGCACGAGCGCCGCCTACACCGGGCGCGCGGCGAATCCGACGAGACGGCGCCACCTGACCGCGGAAGAGCGGACCACCGGTCCCCGCCGCAATTCTCGCGGCCGATCGACTCCGCGCGGGATCTTGTGCAGCTTGTGCACGAACAGGACGTCGGTGGCGCGAGCCCGCTTCTTCCCCCCGCGGACCCGGTGAGTACGCTCCCGGCCCATGGTGCAGCGCACTGGACCGTGTCGAACTGCGAGCTGTTTTTTGATCTGGTTTACGTGGTGATGATCCACATCGTGACCAAACCCCTGGAGAAAGCGGAAGGGGCCGTCGTCGGCCTGCCCTGGTTGCACGTCATTCTCCAGACCACCACGATGTGGTTTTTGTGGAGCCTGGTTTCCGACTACGCCATCCTGGTGCGGTCGTACCGACGGCGCGGGAAACGAACGGACCCCGCGACGGCCGCGGCCGAAGGAGTGGTCCTTGACGGTGGCGCCACTGGTATCTCTGAAACAAGCACTTCGCCAACGAGCACCGAGGTTTGTTCGTCAAGCAAACCCAGTTTCGACTGGGCGGCCGAAGGCGTGATCCTGCTCGCGATGGTCTGCTCGGCGCTGATGGCCCGGGCGAGCGCGGAAAACCTGGTGGCCTTCGTGGGGTGGTACCTCGTTGGGCAGGTCATCACCATCTCGGCCTACGGCTTTGTCACCTGCAAACGGCAGTTTATCGCGGTGGAAGGGGTATCTAATTACAAGTTGTGACTTGCAAAATGTCGCTGTGCGATGTCGGGTTTGCTATTTTTTTTGCTGAAAATTTGTTTTCCGATAGCAAAATAACAACGTCGCCAGAAGCGAGACGCTTTTTGGTAAGTTTATCCTTCTTTCAGGACGGCGGTAGCATTGCCGCGCTCACCGAGGACACGCTAAAAAAGTCGACTTTCGCGTACGCGGTGCTCGCCGCGCTCGACGCCGCGCTTCTGCTCCCGGTTGCATTGTTGCTAGACAGCGTCGCGTCGCAGCTTGATGAAATTGTCGCGGGAGCAACTGGTGGCTCCTTCTTCGGGGCGGGAGAGAAGCGAAGTTTTTCGAAATTGACGCATGAACAACTTTCGCCTTTTACAAAGCGTGTCTTCACGCCGGGACGACGAGCCGCGCAGGACGACGAAAATGGAGGGTCCCCGTTCTCGTCTCTCGA